GCGTTCCTACCGTTCACGGACAATGGGCAAGGACGATCGTTTCAGTTTCTCTTTGCGCGTTTGTTTGCTCGATCGGAGTCAACCGCGACGAAATATGTCGTCGATACGACGATGTTTCGCAGCTGGTGTCGCCAGAACGGTTAATTCGTCGTAGAATCAGCCGCGTTCGCCAGTGTCAGTGTTGGCCTCGATCGCGTTCGTTCGAACGAGGAGACGTTTTACGCGACGTTTTACGCGACGTTTTACGCGAATTATCGCCTGCCGCGTTTACCACGCTAATTCGATGCTGTGCGATACCGTGCGATAACGATTGTACCAAGGTAGTGGTGGAAGCTGGTCCTGCCGCTGCAAGAAAAACATTCCTTGGTTGTGCGTTGTCCGCGCGGCCAGCTAACGGACGTGTGCCGTTGGACAAAAAAGAAGATACAAAGAAACTATCGACGATACATTGTGTCCTGGAAAATAGTCATCGTGACTGACCCGTTTCGCGATAGAGGGACGCGAATAGATTCGTTGGATCGTTGAGCGTCGATCGGTTTCTTGGAAAGCAGATCGTCGCGTTACTACCGGGCCTCGACGTCTTCCAAATGCGCATTTGTATAGCCGTCTCGCGCGATATTCACTTTTTTTTCTTCTTCTTGTCTCCGAGAGAACGCGGGTCGTGCCGATTTACCTTTTCTTCTCCGTCTCACCGGAGGTCATTTTCCCTATTACGCGTCTTTGTACGATTTTCGTTATCGGCATAATAAAGCATAAATAAGCATAAATAAGCATAAATAAGGCGTGCTTGTACACGTGTGTGCTAATGGATTATTACGCGCAACTTGCTATGCATCGTGTTCGTGACGCAATCATCCTTGGAGATGCATTTTATCGATAATTTTTTTTCAACCGCGTCGTCTTCTCGTCTTCTCGTCTTCTCGTCTTCTCGTCTTCTCGTCGTAGGTCGCGGAAAACACAGTGTTCAAAATGTCGAACGCAACTCTCGTGCCTTATCGCCGCCCTTATTAACTCGTTGGCTGTGATAGCGCGTTTATCAAACGCAAATCCAGCTTCTCACCTAGCGCGTTGAGCCGCGCTGTTCCACCTTTTACCATTCCACTTGCCGACTTAATGTCGGAATCGTTGCTTCTTCGCTTTTACGCTTTTCCATCTTGCCCGAGAAACGTCCATCACCGTTATATCGACGAATGAAACGAACCGTCGCGTTTTGAAACACCGCGTCCAGACGAAACGTTCTTTCGATCGTTCTTCGACGACCGTTTCTACCGTTTACGAGGCGCCAGTACCTCCTCTACGTAAGGAAAGAAAAACGGTCGCCGCGGATACTTGTAATCTCTTCGCTCGAAATATTCTTTGAAATTTCTACTCTTCCGTACTCGCTAATTTGATTTCCAGTTTCCATTTTCACAGGCTTTGAATCAGTGTGATCATCACTCGACGTTGCTTCCCCCGAGCGAATCGATTTTAGTTTTAGTTTAGACGAGAAACTTTGTGAAAGTCGAGAAGTAAAATTCCAATCGCAAAAGATCCGCTTCTTTCTTTCCTTCTTTCTCCTCTCTTTATCAATCGTAAATTTCAATTTATTTTCGATCGAAACAGCCGCGCTATCGAAGAATTTCATCGACAAAAGTTCGTCCATCCGAGTTCCGTGATTACAAAGCGGCGATTAAAAAATCAGCAATTAGTCGAACGGGAATCGCCTGTCTCGTCGACGGATAATGCAAATCACTTTCACTCGCCAATTATTTCGTGCCGATTATTTCGTTCGTTCTAACCTCGAGGAGAAACGCGAACGAGGAAACGATTTCAATGGGTTTCGAGTCGTTCTCTAGGACTCGAAGCGGAAATCTTTTGTCTTTCGCGCCAACCTATCTCGTTAATAACTCTGACAAACTCGATTTCTCAGTACCTCTACGTACGTACGTACGTACGTACGTGCAGTCTTGATTAATATCATGCAAATGCGAAACGATGCAGCAAGATCGCATCGAGTTATCCTGCCATAACCAACGCTTTTCGTACCGTGATGGTGTTCTCTCAAACTCCGTCCAACGATAAATTACGCTTTCTACTTAACAAAACGTTGCCTCGTAACTACGCGTGTCATACGGTGATTTCGATAAAAGCCAGACTTTTTAATTACCATGAATCACACCGACGTACTCTTGTCAAGCGGTCATCGCTGCTTGCACAGGGGTTTAAAAAAATATCCCAGTATCGATAAAAAGCTGTGGGATCCAAGTAGCAGATGGATTCTTCAATGGGATAATATCGTAAAGCATCCAGGTGCTCGAGCAAGAGGTTGTCATTGCGACATTCACAAACCACCGTGGCTGTATCCGCACTTAGGTACAAAGCTTTTCGCGAAAAAGAGAAAACGAAATTTTCGTTAAGAACGAATCCAAATATAAATGTATACGACGATTCGAACAATCGTCGATCATAGTACGATCGAATAATTTCGTCGAAAAATAACGATCGAATAAAAAAAAAAAAAAAAGATATATATTTGCGTACTTTGCTAAACTCGTTGAACGCATTTCTTTCAGTTGGCAAAACCACCGATGAAACGGACAGAGCGGTGAGTATCGGTTTAAACGTTTCAAAGTATACGTGCGTTTACCTACGCGTTAGCGTAATAATATTACTATTAACTGTATTACCGATTAATACACGAGATGAACTTCCATATTACAGATTAAATCGGCTCCTGTGAAAAGGTTAGCTGCTGCTGCTGCTGCTGCTCCTCCGAAAAGAGGACAATTCGGTCCTGCGAAAGCTCCATCTTCAGCTCTAGGTACACACACAGACGCGCGCGCACGCACACGCACGCACGCACGCACGTTTTCTATAGACTCGATGCTATTTCTCATCCCGTGTAAATCGACCACGTTCCACTATAAACGTCATATTTTGATTATTTCGTTCTAAGCATGGTGTATTTGTACTCGTTCGAAGCGAGTCTACTCTAAAATAACCGTTTACCCAAGCCCGTGTACCTAACCAGAACAACTATAGACGCGTCAACTTACATTTCTATTATAGCAATCGTAATATCGCGAATCGAGTTATTTTACGCTATTTACAGAATCAATCTATCGCGATACGTAGAGTCATCGAAGCGTTAGTCAAATCTGTTAGTCGTATGCGAATTAAAGCGCTTTGTGTGCTGCAAGTGCTTTATCTGTGTATAAGATAAACGTTTGTTTGGGTTAATCCAGATGAATGTGACGATCTTTAAGATTAACATTACGAAAGCACGTGTTCCTCCTGCAACCAACGCACAGGTGTGAAGCGTGCTAACGTTACAACTCTTGCTTACTCCTGTCGCCGCTCGTGTCGCTCGGCATTTCACCACGCGATATTCGTGATATTTTTTGCAACCATGCGCCGACGAAATGTCGATAAACCGTTGACGTTTCGTTGACGAGACTGCTAATTATTCGCTTGCATGACAGCTCAGCCTGGTAATAAATCTTCCATGGTTCCAAGGGCTACGACCGTCAAACGAAACGTGTCAGTAAAACCGACACCAGGTATCTAAAACTTTATTGGCATTACTAATTTTCTATTATACCGTGATGGTTTCTTCGCGCAAATTTTCCATATTTCTCCACGATTTTTCTTTTTTTTTTTTTCCTTTTTTCTCTCTTCCTTCCCTTTAAATCCCAAATAGCCAGCACGACGCAAGTACGAGCAAATAACCAGAAATTTCTCAAATTCGTTGCAGCTAACGCGTATTCGTCTTACCGTACTATGTGTACTATGCACTTTTAATCGCCGCTCGAACCCCTTACGCCTTACGCTTTGTACAATGTTGTTGCGTCTCCTTTCGTTCGCGTACGCGTATCGTTTCACCCGTGATATTCTATAGTCGGCTATACATCTGTCATCTTGTCTGTTTATATGCACTGCCTTTTCCTCGCTCACTCTCATTTGCCGAGTTAACAATGCTTTGAAGCGTCGCAAAGTATTCACACTACCACGAGGTAAAATAAAAATATACCTACAAATAAAAGTCGTTTTACCTTTTGTCGTGGCAACAATATCGATAATTTATATGCGATTTATCGAAGCGGCATAAAATTCAAGCGTCTCGATACTCTACGAGATTTTTAGTCGATCGAACAAAGCTGCAAATTTCTCGACTATCGAAACTCGTATATTCTGCTGCATAAATTAGTAAATTAAACGAAATCTGGTAAATTAGTAAATCGGTGTATACGTATTTTAACATTGACGTTCATACGGATATCCATACGTCTATAATTAATATGTATTTGTCTATTTATTTACTTATGTATTCAGGTCAAGCTGGCGCCGTCGACGAGGAAACTTTCCTTACAGCGTTCGAAGATGTGCCATCTGTAAATTTGTTTTCCGCAAAAGATCTCGAAGAGCAGATGAAAATCATAAGAGAAAATGTTGGTGACGATAAAAAAGATTGGAAACAAAGGACAGAGAGTGTATGTGCCGAGATAATATCGTTCTAACGTTAAACAGTCTAAACTAGTGGCACATGGCATAAACTTAATTATCTTACAGATGAAAAAATTAAGAGCAATCGTTATAGCGGGCGGTACGAATTACGAAAACTTTTTAGAAAACTTGAAAAGCGTGCAAAGATCTTTCGAAGTTGCTTGCACGGATCTTAGGTCGCAAGTGGTAAGGGAGGCGTGCATTACCTTAGCGTTTCTTAGTCAACAGTTAAAAAATAAATTCGCTAGTTTTGGAGAAGCAGTCTTACTCACCTTAATGAACCTCATACAAAATAGTGCCAAGGTGAGACTCGTAATTATTTAACGCCAATACACCGTTAGAATCAAACGGAGAGAGAGAGAGAGAGAGAGAGAGAGAGTGTGTGTGTGTGTGTGTGTGAGAGAGAGAGATTGTGTGTGTGTGTGTGTGTTTGCGCGCGCGATGATAACGTGGAAAAAAACTTACATGGACAATTTTGTACATTCAGGTTGTGGCAACAGCTGGTGCCGTAGCCGTGAGGTTTATTCTTCAGAATACGCATTACAGTCGTTTCGTGCCAATTATCACATCCTGTTTAAGTCACAAGAGCAAAGACATACGTCGAGCATCGTGCGAATATCTAAATCTAATTTTACAAATATGGCCTACTCAAATATTACAGAAACACTTGACCATCTTACAAGATACGATCAAGAAAGGTATCGCCGACTCGGATTCGGAAGCAAGAGCCTTTGCCAGGAAGTAAATATTCTTCGTTGCTTCGTTGTTCGTGTTCGCTCCCTTTTAAACAAAATACACCGGTTACATTTCCAATATTTCCAGGTCATATTGGGCATTCAAAGATCATTTTCCGGAACAAGCAGAGGCATTGCTCAACAGCCTCGACACCGCGTACAAACGCTCGTTGATGTCCCTTAGCAATAGCGGCAGCATTAACAGTCTGAACGTAGTGACGAGATCGGCCAGCGTTAGTCCTCGAACATCCAGACCAGTGATGAGCGCCACAGGTATATCTTCTTATCTTTGCTTCGTTATTATTAAATGATATTTCGAATAGAATAGGGACTGGCGTAGTAGATGTACGATAAATGCAGAGACCCAAGTAACGATACAGTGCGCTATATAAACTACTTCTCACTTTTTTTCATGCTGCTTTTGTGACTCTCCTTTGCATTAAACGTACGAAGGTAGTACGGAAAATTTGCATCAGTCTTCGGGTCAACCCCATGGCCCGCTCAGACGAACTCCCTCCTTGCCACGGTCTTATCGTCAGTCTGGTATTCCAGTTCTCCAAAGACCCACTGATAGTCATTGTAATTGTTACCTTCTCGTTCGATGCTTTGAAACATCACTGCACCATGTCTTAGAATGTGCACCTGTGTCTTGTACCTAATGCTGCGTATCGTGTTAATCTCCTGCATACCTACTCCGTATTTCCTAATCTTTCTTTCCACTTGTCTTCAGATCGTGCAACTCCGGGCGTTAGATCTACTAGCGCGATAGATTTGCAAGCCGCGCAAAGAGCTAAAGCGAGAATGATGTACGCGAATATGAGCAGACAGAAAGCGTCCCTTCGTGAGTAGTCTCATCGGCAATCGATTTTCATTCTAGCTGTTATTGTATGCTTTAAACGAGTCGCACCTATTCCACCATCTCCTCTTCGTTTAGCACGACCTAGCAAATCACCGGACACAACCGCCGTTGCTAGTCCAGAAAGAACCGCGAGAACAAGGACCAGAGTATCCGGAGTGTCGCAATCTCAGCGTGAGTACGAACAAAATACCAAATAATAGTTATTCCCAATCTGTTTTTAAAAGCAACGCCTAATCTAATACAGTCCGTATTTTCTTACGTTGTACGTAACAGCTAGCAGCAGATCGGGATCACCGTCCTCGAGACTCAGTTATGCAACGTACAATCGCGAAGGAGAATCGTTAATCGCAAGACCTAGACGGTTATCCGGCCACGGGATCAGAAGTACCGGTAACAGTCGTGAACCAAGCCCGCAAAGATTTGGAATGGATAGAAGTTTCGCGAGCAAAATACGGTACGATGGCATATTTACCTTCGTAACGCTCTTTCGTCTTAACCGTTACCGGATAAACAACATTCGACATATATATATATATACACACATATATTTAAACATATGCGAAACGAAATATATAGGGGAAGAAGTTTACATATGTCTCCGACGGACAGGCCTCAATCCAGACCAGTTATGGCACAAAAGATGCTGCAGCAGTCGCGTGAAGCGGAATCAGCGTTGGCGGACGCGCTTACCTTCGAAAATATCGACAATTACCCAAGAACACCGAGAGGAAAGGGCGATCACAGCGATGACAGTGAAACCAGCAGCATATGCTCCGAACGAAGTATGGACAGCTTTAGGCGACCAAACGATGTAAGTAAACGCAGTGCGATAGATTTTCTACGAGAAGACGGAATGAATAACCATCGTTTCATCGTACTGTCATAGTACAACATATATATCGTGACATATATATAAGTGACAGACAATATTCAATACAGAATACATCAATTTCACCAACGATGTACATTACAAAAAAACGTCTCTTCTATACGTCTAACGTCTATGTGTATATATATATATATATACATATGTGTATATATGATATATATATATATAATATATATATATAATATATATAATATATATATAATATATATATAATATAATATATTATATATATATATATATTATATCATATATATGATTCATAAATTTATTCTATCGCGACGCTTTCTTCTCTTATGTTTATTTAAATAACGCTTTTCTAATCGATATGTGATAAAAACAGCCGCTTGCAGTGTTACTTTTATTTCACTTATTTCGTCATTTATTACGTGATACGAAGATGCTTTAACCATATCTGCCTTCGATCATACGCAAGTTCACAAATATCATGCTGCGTGCTCGTATATAAGCGTTGTCTATTATTTTGCCTAAAATACAGAATTACTCGAGATATTTTCATCTGCCACACGAATTCGCGTATTCGTATTTCGAAATATATCCTATACTTGATGTCCTGGACTTGACCACGGTCACGGTAGAATTAGTCCACAAGCTTGAAAAACAGGCTTCCAGCATCCCAACATTGTAGATAACGCATGTATGGTTTTTTCTTTTGGTTTTGTTGCGGCGTATTTGTTTGGTTTGGACTAACGCGATGCGCCGTTCTGTTCTCCATATCTGTCCATCGTCCATCTACCCATTAGTCGTTCTCATGGAGTGGCTCTCAACAAAGACTGTATCGTGATATGTGGGATCAATCTATCCCAAAGGTTTGTTAAATTTAATATTCATTTCCATTTATTATTCATACATATTCCACTATATACATACTACCTGATACAACACTCTACCGTTGTATGCTCTTTTGTCAAAAGAGGAAATATAGAACCCTATCGAAAATACCGAATTTTCCAACAAAGTTTTTACTCTGAACAACGCTTTACACGTTCATGTTTATAATACGTATTATCGCGATAAATAACTCTTTAACTTGCAGGATATCAAGGAAATCATAGAGAATTGCGCGCATAAACATTGGGGCGATAGGAAAGAAGGTTTAGTCGGATTGCAACATTTTCTGTCAAATGGAAATACGCTTACAGCCACGGAATTGCGCAAAGTAACAGACATCTTTACGAAAATGTTCATGGATTCTCATACGAAAGTATTCAGTTTATTTTTGGACACACTGAATGAATTAGTAGCTACTCACAGCGAAGATCTCGGTGACTGGCTTTATGTTTTGTGTGCTCGACTTTTGAATAAATTAGGCACCGATTTACTTGGCTCGATACAAGCGAAAATACACAAAACGCTCGAGGTGGTTAGGTGAGACCGAATACGACAATGTCCAAACTAACACGAACGTTCCTGCTATTTTACACAATTGCTTACATCTCTTCCAACTTGTAGGGAATGCTTCCCCGGAGAGCAACTTTTGCCGGCTGTAATGAGGTATCTGACGGATCCAACGCAAACGCCAAATTCTCGTGTAAAAATAGCCACACTCGTGTTTATCACGCAAATAGCAGAAACGGCAGAACCGTCTGCTCTTATTAACTCTGCTGGGACGGCGCTCGCAAGGTTACTCGACTGGTCGAACGATGTTAAAAGCCAAGATGTCAGGAGGCATGCACAAAATGCTGTTATATCGCTGTATAATTTGAATCCTCCGAAAGTCACTATGATATTAGCTGAATTACCCAAGTATTATCAGGTAAGACGTTGTATATACATATATACGCACGTATATGCTGTATATGTGTGCACAGATGTGTACCATTATACGGGCATTATATTATATACACATACATGTATTTGGTAGGAGGCGGCACTGCCTTTAGTGCAAAATCACTTGAGGAAATCGTCGGGTTCGAGTAATCCCGCGTCCCCTGGAACTCCGCCTCCTAGGGCGCAGAGCTCACCAGCTCGTTCGAAAGGTAAAGGTGACATTGACAATGCGGATGAAAACTTGGAAGAAGTTTATAAGTAAGTGACGGCCTTAATTCGATAAATCCTTATTGTTAGTCATTTTAATCTTTAAGCATTTCCCGCAGATCTTTAAGGCGTACGACGGCGGAGATACAAAATTATGGTTTCGAACGTTTAGAAAGAGCAACTACCAGCAAAGACAGCGGAATCAGCAATATGGCTGATGTCGAGGAAAAGATGGAAGGACTTACATTATGCAACTCGGTAATTAAATAGTCGATATACTGGTTAATAGTATACTATGCCGTGAGAAGATGCGTCAGCATGCCGTTCGTTTCTCCTTTCTTTTCTTTTCCTTTCTTTTCTTTCTTCTCTTTTCTTTCTTCTCTTCTCTTTCTTCTCTTTCTTCTTTCTTTATTTCTTCTTCTTTTCTTTTGTCTATTAGGGTCGTTCGTCTTCTGTTTCTTCGCCCACGCAAAGGGGACGATCTGTGACTAACATTACAGTTAATGGTTCAAGCGATACGATCGCCGGGGATCTTATCCTACCTCAGGAAAATAATGGTTACAAAACGCATGGTATGTATACAATTATTTATAGGAAGGTTATTCATCGACTCGCGTATCTCTTCTTCGTTTAACAAATGTTAATATATCCGCGCAGGGTCATCACCCGATTCGATAAAAAGGCCAGAAGTTTTAGATAATATGATTAAAACGTTACAATCCAAGATGACACAAACCGAAGAAAAAGTATCGGCTCTACAAGAATTTCAATTGTACGTTCGCGAAGGAGATGCTTTGTACATTAAACAGAATTTCAAGTATGTATTATGCTATTTATTAACTCGGCCATTCTATTCTCCATTACTACTACGATTACGAAAACTCTGATTACGAACTACGATTATGAAAACTTGGTTTTCCAGAAAGCTGCTCAAAACGTTGTTAGATAGTTTGACCAACGATAGCAAGAAAATGCAAGTAGAAGTACTTCAAACTTTAATCGATATGCTTAAATGTCCAGAACTTGTCGACAGTTTTTCCGTCTATCCTGAATTGCTGGTTTTAAAAGTAATTAACGCGTATAAATTAGACGACCAGAAACAAGATTCTTCCACTAGTAGCAATTCAAGATCTCCAGTAAGTCTGTCAATTAGTTTCTTGAATATATGTATAGACGATTATTAATACCGTTCCTCTCGTCAGGTTCTCTGGATGGCGGAAAAATGTGCTGCAACGATAGCGATGGTTCTAAAGCCAGAACAAGTGATTCACCTAGTATCGACTATAATAACTACCGAACCATATCCCCTGAATATGGGCGCGATAAAAATGCTTCACAAGGTTGTGGAACATTGGGGTCGCGATGCGATAGAACCTCATTTGTCGAAAGTCATGCCCGGTCTCATCAAAGTAAGTTGACGTATATCGTACATATACGAATACAAAAATCTTCCTCTCGTTCTAACCTACAATGTTAATTATTACGTTTCTGAGCAGGCGTACGATGACAATGAAAGCGCGGTACGTAAAAGCGCCGTGTTTTGTATGGTAGCGATACATTTGGCAGTTGGCGAAGAATTGTTGAAACCTCATCTCAGCTGCTTGTATACCAGCAAACTGAAGCTTTTAAACATTTACATACAACGCGCGCAACAAGCGAACAGTCAGCCGGCAAGCCCACGTAGCAATAGTAAAAATTAACTAACATCAAACTCCGCGACGCTTAGGATCGCGATACTTAAGAGATTTGCCCGTTTGAGTGCAAGGCATGAACGAATGCTGGTTAGCTTCCTCAGTAAGTCGAATCCGTGATGGCTACGATCGAGCAGTAAAACGATACATGTCGATGTTTTTCAATACGATAGACTGATCTACATGATTTCACGGCAAGGTGTATTAACGGCATACCTGAACTCCTGACAGTGATGTTGCACAAAGACAGGTAGTATGCAAGTTATTTACGCGTATTGTTTCGTTTACGGAAAATCTATGCCTGTTTCAAAGACAGAATCGCTTTAGATATAAGGTTCATTGAGTCATAATACACATGTATTTTTTATCGATACGTTACATCCTGATATTAAGTTGCAGCGTTGTTTCTTATTTTAAGAAAAGGGGGAGGGGGGGGGGGGGGAGGGGAAAAGGAGAAAAAAAAAAAAAGGGAAAAAAAAAAGAGGGAGG